TGGACACGCTCTGTCTCCACGCCTCATACGCTCGCGGATGTAATTTTGTTTCTAAATAAGTCAACAACACATCCAGCTATTAATGGATTCTCTCAATAATTTCAAGAATCTGACATTATTGAAAAAATCGTCTAGTTGGAGTAAGGCAAACGCCGAATCCGTCGTCACCGAAGCCAGCTCAAACAATGCATCCACGTGATGATCGACTAACTCGTTCGTATCTTTATACCGCTCAACAATCTCTACACGGTCGCGTGTGGGTCATCGTGAAAATTCGGCAAGGGGATCGAAGGCAACCGAAGAGGAACTTTGTCTCGGATACCGATGTTGACGCGGAAGACTGATAGTGACCATGCACGTCGCAAGTAGTGACGGACCTCACCGATTAGATCAAAATATGTTGATTCGAAAGTTTCGCGAAACTGGTGGTACGCTTCTTTCTCCACAGTATTCGATACTAATATTTCTATGCAATCCTGAAAAGTTTTAAATTTCTTGATAAGCACTCTTTGATTGAGTCGTTCCTCAAGGGAGCTGAACTCGTTCGTCCATGCGTATCATAAAAATTCCTAAACTTTGTCAAGTTCGATTTGAGCCCATCGCGTTTCTCAATTATTTTCTGTAGCTCATCGTTTGAGTATGCCATGCTTTATTCGAAGTGAGACTTAATAAACTCTCGACTCACCGAACGTAGATATTTTGGATTGAAGACAAGTATCGCCTGCTTAGTCTTCGTTACTGGAACCTGGCCGTGTGCAGAAGTCAGATGTCCGTGAGTGGTTATCTTCCAAATAAGGCAAGTGTCTCTCTTTCTGATGCATACAGCTCGAGTCTTCACAACAATTGGTTTCCTCGTCGTTGAATCCACCAAAAATCCACGCTCGTTCGTGGATCCGACTCAAAGGACGAATGTTTGTGCCTGAAGCAGCATCAATGTAGTCGATGTGGATTGTAAAATAGCTAATCGTTGGGCGCTGACAGTTAGAGAACAGTGTCTCCCACAAAATGTACAAAGTATCGTGTCTGATGGTCGGAGCACGATTCTACTTAATTCACTAATACGATTTACTCTGCTCAAGAGTTTGTTCTATAGTGCCCATTAACCAAGAAATGTCTTAATTTGACTCCCTTCCTGGCTAATTGGGAGTGTTCTAATTCTAAGTGGGGCATGCCAATGACCAATAACATCGCAGTGCCTGATTCGCAATATAGTTCAAGGAAGAAAGAAAATTCAACGGTGGTTTGTACACAAAATATCGCATGATAACAAACACGTGTTCTTTCTAATAGACCTAAACAAAGAACGGTGTTTGTACGCAAAGTCAACGGTGCGACTCGTGAATTGACTCAGACTGACCGTGCCGTATCAAAACACAGAAAAACGGAATAAGGATTAGCTCTTTGTTTAGGTCTATTAGCGGCCTGTTGGCCATGGGAACGGAAAGAATCTTGACAGAGAATTTTCCCGAAAGATTGTCTGTTTACAGTTTACGAGCCATAAACGCTCGCGAACAGTTACTAATATAACTTTTTTTGTTATTGTCAATTATGATGATACATTAACGATAATGTTTTCTGTTATAGAATTACATTTATTTATACGTACATTTAGATGCATGATAGCGGTCAGCAAAATGTAACATAACAGATAAACTTAATATTTATTACATATTATTAGTAGAAAACAATAAATAAAATAATATTTAGATGATCGAAATTATAATGACTGGAATTAAGATAATACTCTTATATGTATTTATTATTATTTCTATACTTGCAAGTAAAATCATTCTTTTTTAAAAAAGAATATATATTTTTTACTATATTTTAATTTAATTTATATTTTTTGAATGAGATATTTATAGTAACAATGATCATATGCTATGATATATTATAATATAAAAAGTTATCAAAATTAATAATAAGATATAAAACTTGAGATAAAATTATTATATTATATAAATATTCGATATATACACATGATTAATAAAATTTATTTTAAATAATTGTATTTTATAATAAGTTTATTTTTTTAGATATGCTAGTTATTTATAATATTAATATTTGTTACAAACAGAAATAAATATTATTCTGCATTATTTCCTTTTATTCTTTATTATATATGAATTAAAATATTCAATTTTTTTGCGTTTGATGTATTTTTCTAATAATTTTTAAGCGCAAAAGATTATTATCAAACGAATAAATTATCAAATTTAAATTTTTATGATTTAAAAAAAAATAATAAATTTTTTAATCAAAATAATTTAAAATATTTATAATAAAATAATAGAATAAAAATCAATTATCATACATTAAACTACAAAGATAGGATGAAAACAAAGAATAGATATAAAAAATAATGAAATTATAAAAAGAATCATTTTATTAAAATCATTTTATTTATATTTATTTTTAAATATTACAAAAAATATTATAATATTTTAAAAATGTTAAAAAAGAATTCTTTTTTTTCGAGAAATTCTCAAAAATCTTCAATGTTAAGAAAAAAAACGGCATTGCAACAAAAAAATGTGCGAAATATACAATTAAAGCAGAAAAATCTTTAATAATATGAATATCAATATTAATTAAATGCTAACGACAACAATTATTCATATATGGAAATATACTTTATAAAAATACTTAAATAAATAAGTTAAATTTCTCTAAGATTTAATAAAATTGAAAAAAAAATTATCAACTTTCTAATTTGAGGCACACATTACACATATTCTTCCGATATTCGGAAATTGAATTCGATTCGCTTGCTTATATCGTGTGATTTTGTTTCTTCTTTCACTTCTTTCCTTTCAGAAAAGAAAATGAACACTGTATATTGAATATCTTTATGAAAGATGTACGGAATATTCAATAGTATAAATAAATACACATATCATTCAACAATTTTTTTAATAGATACAGAAATGTATTTTATTTTACAAACATGAAAATTTTCATCTTTTTTTAAATATTTATACAATTAGAATTTATTTACAAATATAACAATGTCTATTATAATCTTTTATCTTCTTTCTTTTTCGTTTAATATATGTTCGATTTCGATAATCGTTTTTTAAACAATAAAATTCAATTAACAATTATAACGAAAACTCTATAATAGATATTCTATTTGTTTCTAAAATGTATAAAAGAATATTTTTTCTTTATTCTAAAAGAAATTTTCAAGTCAACACTAGAATTACATGTCTATAATATATTTAACAATAAATATACATATCGTACACAGATGATTAGAATTAAGATAATATATTAGTATTATGAAAATAATTTTATATACATATGTAATTTTATTATTGTTTGAAATCAATTCTATAATTTTATAATTTTTCTTAGAAATGCATTTTTTTAACAATTATAAAAGTAATTTTAATTAACATTAATCGTTATATAATTAATCGTTGATATTTGTCATGTATTGCAATAAAATAAATATATGAAAAATTAGATTTAATTAATCACGAAATTGATTTTCATTCGATTGGTTATTTTTGTTATAAAAATAACAATTATTTCTATAATTTTTTATCGATAAAATCAAACATTAAATTTTTTGGTTGTTTCATTCCATGGATTAAAATAATGATACAAGAATAGAAATAATTAATTTTTTAAATTTTAACTCATATATCATTTTTGTCAGGATATATTTTTATTTTTAATATTATTTAATAAAATTGTTTCACGATCAGAAATAACATAAGGAGAAATATATACAAATTTAATTTTGGAAATATATAATTTCATAATTAGTTTGCAAATTGTAGCAAATTGTATAAACTGTTCAAACTGTTTCAATATTATATATTAAATACCTTCATAATGAATAAAAAACAATTTGCTAAATTTGATTTATTTTAATTTTAAAAGATTTCTTCTTTATTAATTTTTGCTTTTTGGCTATTAATGATTGTTCATAATTTAAATACTATTTAACATAAATATCAGTTCAAAAATTATTGATTTTATTTATTTTATTGAATTTATATATTTGATTATTGATAATATAATTGTATCTCATGACATAACATATAACAAAATTTTTTATTTATAATTAAATGTGAAAACAAAAATGATTACAGCAAAAATTTTCAAAATGTCAAGAAATATTGTTAATAAATATTATTATATTACTTATTGATTATCAAAATTATAACAGCTGTAGTATAAAACAATTGAATATAAAATCAGAACATTTGAAAATACAATAAAATAAAATCTAAAATTATTTAAAATATACACTGTTTATAACAAAACATTGTTAATGAACACTTCAATATGGCAGGAAATGGTTGTAAAATGTTTGTAATTTTTTGAATTAGTAAGTATAATATACAGTTTTGTATAGATTTCTCCTATTGTTTGTTTTCAATTGTTGCAAAAACAGCGCAATTCGTTTTTTCGAGCAAAAATGTTATAACTTTCTAAATATTCATAATGCTATACGTATTTCGATATCAAATATTGTCACTACTTTTATATATTAAATATATATGTTATATATATTTATATATATTAAAATAATTAATAATAGATATAATCAATATATTCATTCGTTTTATCTTTTCTGTTTTTTCATCTATTTCATCGTATTTTCACGTATATAACATTTTATCTGTTATATCGATATATATCACATTTAAAATTCTATACATCTTATTCATTTAAACAATATATTATATAATTTAACATAAAACGAAGAATAACAAATATAGTCTATAATATCACTCAATTAAAGGATATAGCAGATCGCGATATAGGTGACTAATTAAATTCTATACGCTGTCGAATTTGTTTTAATTGATTTCTTTTTTTTTTTAGTCAATTGATTAATCATCTATCATAATCACGATTTGCTAATTATATTCTTATCCTAATACGATCAAATTTTGAAGATTATTTACAATGCCATAGCGAAGAAGATTTTTTTTTTTCTTTTTCTTCTATTTTGTAAATTTTATCTATATATATCATTTTTTAAATCGCGTCCACGCTAACCATGATAAACTAGAATTTCATTACCAATATAAATAACATTTTAAACGCGCATTATAATGTATCTTTGTACATCATTATTAGTATCAGTATATTATCTTTGTACATCATTATTATCAATATATTAAAATGTTCATATGTATGTATGTAATATGTATATGAGTATATGAAATCATAGACAGAAATTTCCAGCATAAATAATAAACATATCGATCTTATCTTATATGCATCTTATATGATCTGATATCGATCTTCAATATTTGATACGTATATTAAGAAACAACATTTAATATGGGCACATTGTGTTTATAAATAATTATCTTAGGCATGATACTGATGAGAGATCAGAATGGTGGATCTTTGCATATGTATCTTACATATGTTCGTCGGTTGTTTTGATTTAGACAATGACCTGAAATCAGATGTTTCATAATGAATTTAGAATTTAGAATTTAGTATTTAGAAACTGATTAGAAAAGTTATAAACTTATAAAATATAAGTTAAACTTATTTTTATAATTTTTTATTAGTTTTAAGTAAAAAAGACGAAATATTTAATTTATTCTAAAATCATATTTCAATAATAAATAAATCTAATATTATTATTATTATATTACTATTATACTCTCCTATATATATATATTCTACATTAACTGTGGGATTTTATTTTGAATGTGTGAATGAGAAAGATAAATAATAAAAATAGTGAAAGATATAGCACAAATTACTCCTAATATGAATATGAATGAAAAAAAGCGTGAATTAATATATGTATGTATGTACATATGTATGTATGTTATGTGAACATATAAAAGTATAAACATAAATACATATATTGAAAATTTTTTATCAAATTTATTATATGTTATAAAATATATATATATATTACATTAAAAATTAAATATAAATTAATTCTTTTATTATTAATTTCTTATAATAATAACTTTTTTCAAAAACTATATATAGCCATATATTCTTCATTCAATTTATTCTAATATTTATAATATTTTTTTAATATTTTTTTCTCATTTTATATTTTATATTTATCTATTTTTTTTTTGTTCAGTTTCACTTTATTATAGTTTGTTATTTCTTTTTACTCATTAAACATAATTCTTGTTATCTTGAACGATTAATTTTATACACATTTTAATTTAAAATATCTAATTTAAATTCAAATTTTCAAGATTACAACATTTGAAATTTAGTTAAATGTAATAAAAAAACTGCAATATATAGATAACTTTTTTTTATTAATTTCTGCTTTTTCTAAATTTTTACTATATGAATTGCAATTGATTTTTCTCCATATATCTCTCTCCATATATATATATATGCATACATATCTATATATATGGATTTGAAATATAAGTTAGATTTAAAGTCTATGTATATTAAATATTTCATTCTAAAAGTATATGTTTTGACAATTTAACAATTTAAAATTTTTAAGATATATAATAGATATAAAAGATATTACATAAATATTCATAATGCATAAGGATTCTTATATAAAATTATCCCTCTATTTTATTTAGAAAAATATTTTCTTTAGAAAAATAAAAAATGAAGAAACAAGTTTATCTGCTGCTATATATAGCTATACTATATAATTATATAATCTTATATAATCTATTATATAATCTTTTAATTATAAGATTTATATTATTATATAATTATTATTATTATATAATATATTATTATTATTATATTAAATTATTATTAATAATATATAATTATAAAGAATATAATATAGCTGTAGAAATAATAGCTATAAATTGTATAGCTATAATATTTCTGTTTCTTGTGAAGCTAAAAAAAATCGGAATGTAATTCTAGATTGAATCTACCCATTATTAAATATACTAATTTCTTTATTAGTCTCTAACATTCATCTTTGAAATCATGAATAATTGCATAAACATCAATTATTTACAAATTTATATTACTCGAAAATTTTTTCTGTGTTCCTTTTCTATTCAATGTTTTTTCCTATCTAACAATTTAAATAAAATAAAAAAATTATGCATAATAAAAATTCTTATAGTGATATAATTATATACATATGCGTCTTGTCTATATAATTGTCATATATATAAAAATTTTCGAACTTTGTAGCTGACAGATTCTAGAAAAAGTCCTTCCAAAATGCAATAATATTTGTTTTATTAATTTAAAATCACACTATCTTCTTGTTTTGGCTTTCTTCTTTTTCAATCTCTATCGCTTCCAAAAGTTTTTCACATGTAGAATGTATATCATTCAAAAATTTTACAGAATGTAGTTTAAACAGTACTAAAACCTTTAATGTAACATTAGTTTTTATTGAAAACGTGTCGTTTTGTGATTTAATATTCTTCATTATATTATTCCATATAATTCCATTTCTTTACATGAATTGTATTTCATTATTATTCTCAATTTCAAATATAATCATAAGTAAAAGTCAAAAATAAAAATAATATTTATAGAATTTATATGAATCACTTTTATTTTTATTATAGAATCAACATATATTTACTATTGATATTTATAATAAAATATAAAGAAATATTTTTTAATCAACAAATCTTTACTAATCAAAATCTTCAATATTACTAGCAAAAACAACGAGTAAGTTATTTATTTATTTTGTCGTTAGATGTAACGAAAATGGAATTGAATATTTCATTTCTTTATCTTATACAATACATTCAAAATTTTTATTTTTATTTTATTACATGTATAACATATTATATAAGTATAATAATATCTAGAAGTTTTTCTAAATTGTTATAGAAAATACAGCAATACAATAAAGCTTGTATTTGTAATGTCTAAATAATATATATAAACCAATTCTTTAATTTGAAATTATTTTATTCATTTATATTTTTATTTATAAGATATATAATAGAGATTATTTTTTTAAAAAATCATTTTAAAAAATTGAATATCTTTTTATTTATATTGTATTAAATTTCAAATACTGTTGAAAACTTATATAGTTTTAAATTAACTTTGTTTTTACAAATATTTCGAAAACTATAATCTTCGATTAAATTATAAGCCAAAGAATGATGTCTTTGACAATATATATCAAAATCAAGATTAGCGATGAATAGTAATTTTAAAATAAATATATAAATTTATTACTATTTTTTCTTTTTATTAATTATTTTAAAATTTTTGAAAATATCTTAGAAAATCATTCAAAATGTTTTTAGAGTTTTCATATTAAAATTGGTCATATTAAAATAATGAAATTGATGAATAATTAAGAAAATATAAAAAATCAAAGAGAAGTTATTTACATTACATGTTTGTAATTTTAAAAAAATTATAACTTTTTGATGTCTTAATCAAAGTTTATAAATTAATTTGATATAAAATTTTGATAAAAAATATAAAACAAATTAAATTTAAAATAATTTATCCGGGAAAATACTATATTAATTTACTTACCTAATAATTAAACGATTAATTGAATATGTTGATTATTGCCACCTGCATCATGACTAATAAAATGTTAATTGAGGATCGAACAGCAAAATTTCCTGCAATCAAGTTATAATCCATATCATAAGATAGTATACAAATTGACTTATAAAAATATAACATAATGATATATAAGACTGCAAATTTTTTATTTTTCTTTTTTCGCTGAAGTAATCTTTAAATAATTTAATACAATATCTATTATATTAGTTATTAATTTTTTAAAAAATTAAGAATCACTTTGCATGAATTGCATTTACTTTAGCATTTTGTTGAATATCTTTGATAAAATCATTTATCTTTCAATTTTATCTTCTAATTTTAATTTTGGATAAAAAAAGATCTAGTATTAAATCAGAAAAATGTAAAAAATCAAAATAGGAATTACTTTTTTAAGTAAAAAATGTAGTATTTATCAATAAAAATAGAAATTATTTTCAACATGTAATTATTTTTAGAAATTATAATTAATTTCAATAAAAGTGCTATAATTGCTTTCAATTATAATTGTTTTCAGCATAATAATATAATTAGAAATTTTCGTTTAACATCTTTATTTAAATATATAAATTATCATTAAAATTTTCTAAGAAAATTTTCTATTTTAAATCATATTTATTTAATGAATTTTTTTGTAATTATTTTAAATGGATATATTAATCTTTATTTGAATTTATCTGAATATCTTACAAAATAACAATTCATTATAGATTTTTATGTAAACTTTTCTAATTTATTGTATATCACAAGTAATTATTCCTTTATTATTATACAAATTTCCAAAAAAAAAGACATAACAGATTTTTAATTTTTATTTCTCAATTATAATGAATTTTATATTCTATCCAAGAATGATTTAAAAAAAATTAAAAACAAAACTAGAACGAAGCATTTAAAACCATCAAGCGAATTTATTTAGATTATAAAAACAATAAATAAATAATTTAACTATACAAATATTTTAAAGTAAATCCAGTTTTCTTTTATTAAAAAAATTAATATTAATTGATTTTTCGAAAGAATAAATAATAAATCATTAATAAATATAAATTACATTTTCTTTTTCTTTTTTCTTTTTAACAAACTTTGTATCATTTTTTTTCTTTTTTTTTTAACCTTTCTCTATAATATCGATATCAAAGTTAAAACGCTTTTTATAAGCATGCAGAGGAAGATAAGAAATAATGCAGAGGTAAAGAGACAAAGATAGACAGGATAGATTAAAATACGTTTACACTAACCAGGATAGTAGACAATTTCGTGAGAAACGTTGTAGTTCACCTTTGGTATACCAAGCAAGCATTTGACAGTCGCTGCTTCCGGCAAATCTTCGTCCAATAAGGCCGTTCGTGATAAGATATCGTATAGTCCATCGGCACGCAGCATAACAGTGGGCTTTGCTGTTTGCTTTTCTAGAACACCTCTGCAATAGAGGTGACATTTGCAAAATTGTCGTGATTGTTGAAACTTGAAATGTCGACTAATTAAGCATTAGTATCTTAACATTATTATATAAATATATGTTTTCGTTTATTGTTTATTATTATTATATATTTATTATTTATTTTTTATTATTTATTATTTATTATTTATTATATATTTATTATATTGTATTTCAGCGGTAAATTAAATATTTCAAAGATAAATTAATATGGATTTAATAAAATAGATTTGAATAAAAAAAATAGACATTGTTTATATAAAATATAATTTTTAACAAGATGATTTTCTGATTTTAAAATTATTATATATAGCAATTAAAATACAATTAATTAATTATTTTATTAGAACTTTTATTCATAGTAATATATTCTAGAATTCGTTAATAAATGAACAAAATAATATAAAAAATTTATATTTTTTTATATTTAAATGAATTTCAAAAATTAAATATACAAGATCCTAGAAAATATCCTAGAAGTTGGCTCATAAGTCTTTAACTAATAAAATAATTAATTTTTTTTCTTTATGAAAAATTCTGCTTTATCAACGAATTATTAAACGATTATAACAAAAAATATTGGCCAATCAGATAGATTTATCACGCTATAGCAATAGCGCTATATATGTTAAATATCTGAACTTGAATACATATTCGAAATAACATCTGTTGAATTCAATGCGTCAGGACTTGTTGTGACCAGTATTCTTTGTTGATATCTTCGTTAATAAACTCTGAACAAATATTTTTGCAAAGGAAAAAATTGCTTAAAATTATTTTAAAAATTATCAGTTAAATTTTATCGATTGATTTTTAAAAATCAATCCTGTTTATATATTGAAGACAAGACAATTAAAATTTTTTAATGAAATAATAGAAGATCTAAAAATATAGAAAAATAAAGCATTTTATTGTAATACTTGATTGAAAGATTGGAAAGCTTGTTAGAATATACTTACTCGATGAATATATCTAAAATGGGTTGGGGATATAATCCTTCTGCTATACATGTTATCTCCACTCCATTCTTATCATCTATAGTTTTCTTCCTATATACAAGATCAAATTTGTCCTCCGTTGCTGAAACATATAAGTTTTATTTTATATAATATCATATTGAAATACCAACTTATTTTATTTAAAATTTATAGTTAATAATCACTGTGATAATATTCTTAGTTATGAAATTATATCTTTTATTTTAAAAAATAATATAAAATTGTTTTATTAAGTTTTATATTATATTTTAAAATTATATTCTTTTTTTATGAAGATAATAAAGACGATTATATGGTTCATTTTAACTTTTAGATACTTTAAATAAGAGATAATTTAGTCTACAATGAAAGCAATTTTTAAAAATAATTATATCATAGACAATTCATAATAATATAAGTTAAGTTAGGTTAAATTTAATTTAGTTAAGTTAAGTAAAATACTTAATTATGTATAATTTATATTCGTTATTTAATATTCAAAAATTAAATTTAAATAGAAGAAATGTAAAAGAAAATATAGATTTTTTTAAATTATTATAAATTGAAATAAAATATTATCCATAAAATATATAGTATCTTATATTTAAATAAAGTTTTGAAAAAATTTTTAAACAAGTGACTGAAATTTCACAATTATTTTAAAAAATATCGAAAATATACATTTTTTTTATATTGATAGAAAACAGTATAATTTGGAGTATTCTTGGAATATTTAATTTTTATTATGTTTAGTATACGATATCTATATTGTGATGATCTTCTATAAAAAACAAAGCTTTTATTTTCAAAATGAATTCAATGTTTTTTTTAGGTCATAGCGCCGCTTCTTTTTTATTTTTAACTTTTATTTATCTTTTTTAAATTAATTTTATATATTAATCATTTTATAAATTAATCATAAAACAAATTGGAAAACTAGAAAAATATGATAATATAAAACCAATTATGAAATTTTATCCATTCCACGCTTTCCAAATTAATTTACATTCTCTAAATTATATTCCATTTTATTATAACTTTTATTTAATCATATTTTATATTTATTTATATTACATTCACTTCCAATCAATCAATTCTTATATTTATATTTGTTATTAACTAATTGTAATATAAACTATTACAAAATAATATTATGCTCAGATATTGGTAAATTTTATTCCTGAATAGATTTTTTAAATTTTAAGTAATCTATATTTTTTTTTTTCTTCAAATTTTTATCTTTATCTGGATAATTGAGTATAATGACTCACTTAAAGCTTCCTGCCCTTTGTTCTCAATTTTTTTAAACTTTAAATATTTATTTAAAATAATTATTTATAAATTAGATAATGGGCGAATTCTTAGAAAGTTTAATTAAAACTTCTAATATAAATAAATTACTAACGTGAATAAAATTTCTAGAAATATGAATAATATTTGCTAGTATATTATTTTAATTTAAATATCTACAAATTCGTGAGATATCTTTCTAATATCAATTCCAAATATCAATTCTAGAAAAATAACAAAAATATTGATTCAATATAAGCAATTTCAATTAAATGAAATAAGATTGAGATAGTTCGATCTTGATTTCATTCTATCTCTATCATACTTTTTTCAATTATATAAATTTCGATCAATTTTTGTATATCAATTCTTGTATTTGTTTTGATTTTTTAGAATCAATTTTTCAAATTTTTTACAAATATCTTGTATATATGTAAAATATTAAATGTTAAAAAAAATTATATTTATGTATTTAAATTTATATATGTTGAATTTATATATTTATATTGATTTAATAATTTATAAAATTAGATAAAATAATCAATAACAATTTTCATTTTTCTTTAGAGTAAGTTTGTATTATGATTGCTGTTTGATTCTTGCGTTTTAATATGTTCTACATTATATATGTTTTATGTTTTTTAACATATATAGTTTCTATCTTTTTTTCTTCTAATGATGATCTTTATTTAAGAAGATATATACATAATACATAAAGATAAAGAAAAGAATTAAAATGCGATAAAAGAAGAATCAAGAATATATAAAAATTTTCATACTTTTTCATTATCTTTAAATTATTTTTTTTGATTAATTATATATTTATATTTATTTATATATTATTTATTTATGTCCAAAAATTTTATAAATATAATTTTATAAATAAAAAAATTCGAAATTAAACAATTTTTTCAAATTATTTATTTATATTTTTTGTTTATTTTAATTCATTTTTTACTTAAGAAATTTCTTTATCAAAAAATTTAATAAAAAAGAAAAATAATAAAAAAGAAAATTATTGAATATTAATAGAAATTAATAAAAAAAAATTGATTAAAGAATATAAAAAATTATGATATCAAACAATATAAACAATATATAAAAAAAATATAATATTGAAAAAAAGAAATCGATTTTATAAGAAATTTTATTTTATTATTATTTTATTAAGATACACAGAGTATTTATATGTTCATGTTATATATAGTATATTTTTTAAAAAATCTATTCTAGAGATCAAAACAAAAAATTAGTGTATAAAAATGATAAAGATTTATTTATTAAGTTATAATTAAAATTTGTTTTAAACGAAGTGAAACAAAAATAGAAATTATTTCATCTTATCATATTGCTATACGCTATTTTATTTTCGCCTCGCTTCATCTAACATAACCTTAAATTACTTATAATAAATAAATTAATCGATACTTTGTATAGTAATTTTTGTGTTTGTTAGTTTTTAAAATCGATTTTCTAAAAATCTTCTACGAATATATTAACATTGTAAATGTTATTTTTTTGAAAGTTAAATTTTATATATATAATTATATATCAATAATTAATATCAATAATTACTTAATAATAAATTATATCAATAATTACTTAATTTCAATTTGAATGATAAATTTTAATAGTCACTTAGAATTAATATACATTTATACTTTTAGTTTTATATATAAATTATATTTTTTTGCTACTCTCTTAAATATTTAATTATAATAATAATATAATATAATAATATTCTTAAAAATCTCAAGAAAAAAGACATTAAAATCATTAAAATGCTCTAAAAAATTTCAAAAATTAAATGCATATTTTTTACTATTTATATGAAATATATGGAAATGCTATGTGAAAAGAGAAAAGAGATTGATTTATAAGTAAATTGTGAAGCTTGTATTCGACTGTTGTGATTTTATATATGATGAAATACGATAAAATAACGATAGCTCAATAAATTATCATGCATTTTAATTGAAACTCGTCTCTGAAAAATAGTTAATAAATTTATAAGAGATTAGAAAATTTGATAATAATCCGAGTACTCGAGAATTAAATTGTTAATATTTTTTTATAAAATGTAATGATTAAATTTTATGTGATATAATATTTAAATATCATTATTTCTAAAATAATTTAATAGTGCATAGAAGAATTAATTTATGCACTTATTTTTTAAATATATTACGGGCATATACTACGGTTAATATTATTTAGATAATTATTTAGAAAACAATTAATAAATAATCAATAGATCGAAAAATGATATAATTAAATTTTTGAATATGAATTATTTTATATCTATTCTATAATATTTTTGTTTTTGAAATATCATATTATATTTTGTTATAACCATATTTTTCAAAGATTTTTGTTAAACATAATTTATATATAATTTCTCTTTTATTTCTATGATTTTTATGAAGTATGAAACAATTAAAACTTTCACTTATGTTTTAAATTTATTTATATTTTGCTATTTATGTTAATTAATAAGAAATTTCTAATTGAAAGTATTAGTTATTATAAATAAAGTATCATATTCTTCATTAATTAAAATAGAAAATAAGAACAAATCTTTGTTAATACGTTCAAATTTGATTATTTTGTGCAACATTGATTATAATACAAAAGTTATAAATAATCAATAAAAATTATTTTAAAAATGCAAAGGAAAATAAAAACATTGACAAAGTCATATACAAAATGCATATTTGCTATTTCCACGTTTGAATAATAACCAGACATTATTAACGACTCAATAATAATTTTCATACACAATACTAAATGAATAAAGAAAATTTGTATTTTCTTTACATATAAGAAGTAATCTTTGTTAATATTAATAATAATCTTCTGTTAACAATCTGAATCTTTTGTACCGATCTCTTGAATCAATCCATCTTTACATTTAATGTATTGCGAAGAAGCTCATTCATATATCGAATATTTGTAAATAATAAAACTCAATTTTATATCAAAAGGATTATAGGATTTATACTGATTGGGTATTTTTTGTTTGCTTGGTGAATACTATAAGCTCTTAAAATCTTTAAAAAAATTTTTTTTAAAACCCTCTATATTTAATTTAATACAATTATTATGAACTTAACATAATACAATATATTATATTTTCTACAATAATATTTTCTACATTATGTAAAAAAATGTTCAATCTATAAACAATGAACGGTGTCTCAATATTGGTTTTTTAGGAAAAAATATTTGTCAATTTTCTGCTTTGATGCAATTTGGATCAAAGCAGATCAAAATGTAAGATTAAAATACGTTCTATCGTTTTAATGCAACCTGAAAAGATCAAAAAAAAGGAATATTGAATCGTTACTAAAAAAAATTAATATATATATATATAATCGTAATTACTGATCCTAAGCAAAAGTTTGATTTTCATTCACATGGTTCATCAAACTAATTTGCTGATATCAAACTAAATCTAAGCGGCGATGTAAAAAAAATTGTTTAAAATGTTGTTTCTGATAATATATTTCAATCTCATTAAAATTCGTATCTTTTTATATAAAATGATTAAAATTTTAACAAAAATTTTCAGTTATAATAAAAAAAGAATAATTAGCCTATTTTATTTGGAATAAATAATAATAGCGAAATACTTACAATATACAACCATAGAGGCGCTTGCAGATTGTTCATCTGCGAAAGTAGATATGACACATCTGTATTCGCCGGTAAGATCGATACCGGGCTTATTCAATTTCATGGCTCGGTAAGTGGTGCATGGATCGTTACTGGCTTTATACTTCAAATCAACGTACTTCCGCGTGATATCTCCAGCCAAAGGGTCTCTTCCGTATATCCATTGATAGGCCACTTCGTTTGCATTGAAAAACCATTTCACTACTAATCCGTTGCTCGGCGTGTTCTCGAGATCGTAATCGCAATCCAGAATCACATAATCGGTATTGTCGGCTTTCACTGTCGACGGTATGTTCACGCTCTTTATTACCAGTTGCCAACATTCTGAAAAATAGTAAAAAAAGTAAAGTTAAAAAAAAAAAAGAAAGAAGAAAGACTGCATAGATAAAGGAAAATGAAAAGATAATTTTTTCTTTATATTCTTTTTTTGTATTGAAGATACTGAGAAAATCACGAATAATAATCGATTTGCTTCAGAAAATGTGATAGAAATATATACCATTTTCGCAATTGATTACTGGGACATAATGATTTATTATTACAATGAACATTGCTTTAATTTTAACCTAAATTTTTAAACTAAACATTTTGCTATTGAAAAAGTAAACAGAATTATTGAGAAAGATTATTTTTAATTTTATATTAATAGATATGAAAAGTATCATTTTTTTGAATAATATTTCAACTGCATAATTTTTTTGAAAATACTGTGCAGAATACTAAATCTTTAAAAGTAATCATGTTACAAGTTATTCATTATTCCAAAAAAGTTTCTAATACTGAAAACACAATTCCATAAATTCGAGTTAAATAAATAATAGACAAAGATCTCGAATTGAATTTTAATTTGATAAAAAAAGAGACAAATTAGAGATATTAGAAAGTCAATTGTTTCAATTGTTTCAATTGTTTCTGTTTTTTCAAGATGATATCACAAATTTGTCACATTCCATTGCTTTCAATAGATTGTTGATATTTATTGATAAATAAATTTATATGTGCATAATTATTGTACAAATAAATACATGTATATATTTCATAATAAATAACGAAAAAAGGAAATTATTGTTTAATTTTCCTACGTTATTGTATTCCTTATGGTATTGTTACAATGAGATATGAATTGCGAAATTATTCATCCAACATCAACGTTGCTTTGAATATGTCTAATGAATTTCGTTTTGGTTGATGCAATTTCCATTCTGCTACAAAAATACATACGAAATTTGAAATTGTTTTAAAATTTATGAATGGTACATGGTAGGAAATCAAATCAACTTTTGTACTTTATTGTTTTATTATGAATTTATAAATTTTATTCATTTATTGTTTTGCTTCTTCTCAAAAAATAGTATACGAAACAATTGAAGATTGTTAAATGTTTTTTTTACAATGCGTATTGCAATATATAAATATATGAACATTGTTTTATTAAAGAAAATTAAATTAATAATTAAATTAAAAATTATATTATATAATTTTATAATAAATATATTATAATAATATAAAATATATATAATATTGTAATAAATTAAATTAAAATATATTTATTATAATATTTGTTGCAATAAGAAAATTAATTCTTCTATTATTTTCTTTTATTATTATATTATAAATAAAAAATCAGTTATAAGAAAAAAATTATTTATAAAATTCTATTTATAATAATTAATGAATTGTATAAGAACTATAATATTTTTTTAAAATATATTTTTAAATAATATATTAATAATATTTAATAAAACATTTAATAAAAAATATTCAATTATTTTTTTAAAAAAAATTTTAAACTAGAATAACTTTTAAAATTGAATTGAATCATCTAAGTTTTTTCAAGAAATTAGAAGAGTTAATTTACTAGATGACATGTAAAAAAATTTGGAAAAATATTTAATTGATTGGAATCACGAAAAAAATAATTGTTATTAATCTTAACTATTTTTATTTGAATTTGTAATAAAAAGTTAAATAGTACATTTTGAAGATTTATGTTAGTTATATACACTGAAAATTGTATTGAAATCAATTGATGCAAAAATAAGCTACGTAAAAATAAACATCAAATGATATAAAAATTTATAAATTTTAAATAATAATCGAATGAATGAATGTTCTGTCAGGGCTTATATTAAGAAGAAAAAAAAAAAGAACAAAAAAGGAAATAATTCGCAAGTCAAAATATTTTGAAATCCAAAACATCATAAATTTTTTTAAGTATTTTTTTAAATTTCAGTTATTTTTTGAATCTCAAAAAACAAACAATATATTTTCATGTCACTGATTCTGAAAACTAAAAGGATAGTTCGTGCAATCGAGAAGAAAAAAGCAAGTGGACCATTTCGTGATTTGAATTACGAAATATCGTCTCGTAGAGAAAAAAACAGTTCGCTAGAATTGTTCTGGTAGAAAAAAAAAATATCTTTCATCACCAATTTTCCAAAAACCCTTTTCTTTTCCTTTTTATTTATTTATTTATTTATTTTATTTTATTTTTTTTTTCTTTATAAACGCTGCACTTTTGTGTTTTATATTTCTCACCAACTAGAAAGTTTTCAGAAGTAAAGCACATCGTTTTATTCACGACGTGAGTTTGAAATTTATGAATCTTGAAAATACAGAAAAAGTATTCACACTACGAATTTATATATATATACATATATTGTAACAGACCTGCAACGTAATATAAGAAGCATATGAAAAGTATATAAGAAGAATAAAAAAAAACGAACTCGTCAATATATATAATAAATAAATTTATTAATTTATTAATAATTTTTAATAAAATTATTAATTTGGTTGATATTTAATATCAATTCAACATATTTTATGATGTTTTATGATATTTAATATTTTAATATATTTATTATTAATGATTCGTTTATTCTCATCATGACTTACTCAATACACTAATGCAATTTCTTGAAATTGGAACAACAAGAAAATTAGGAGAAATTTTAAAGTAAAATTGGACAGAATAATAATATGTAATGATCAAATAAAATTTTTAATTAAATAGAATAATAGAGCAGTTCAGAAATACATGAATAGCGATATCAACTCACAATACATATATGAAACAACATATCAGAAATTAATTGATTTCGAAATTAACTATGTACAAAAATGTTTATTGATTATTGCTGGAATTATGTATGATCGCAACTTTCGCCATTCATTATTTTGAACTTCTACTTTAATTTCATCAAGCTAATATAAATATATATAATAAATATAACTGAGAAATATAACGCAATGTAAATATAGAATTTTTAATAAATTTAGAATTTTTCGAATATCACATTGCTGAGATTTTTGAAACGAACTGATAGAAATCAAAAGGATAAAATATAAAATGGAATGGAAAATATAGTATTATTTTAAAAATATTGAATTTATTATACGATTGGACAAAAATTATTACAATAATTGGATATAAAATGTTTTAAAGAATGAAAATTTTAGAAAATTTTATATAAAAAATATATTGTGCATATATTGTAAAAATGATTAATATATAATAATTACAAGAATAAGAATAAGAATAATACAATGATTTATCGTTCACATTAAAATATTAGAAACTTAATTTTATGCTTTGAAATTTTTGTAATTTTTTCTAATGATTACTCTAATAGCTGTATTCAGTTAAATAGATCCTATATATTATTAATAAAATTTTAATTAATTGTAAAATTAATTATAGAATACAATTAATTGAAAAGAATAATTGAATAACTGAATATAAAAAAGCTTAATTTCATGTAAACTTTTTTTTTTATGATACAAAAATTTTTACTTGTTTACTTAACCTCTTAATTGCCATACTTATGTTAAAACATTTCGATTTCGACTAATTTTTTTACAATTAATTAAATTTTTTAACATATATATATATATATATTTTTTAATATATATATATATATATATTAAAATATAATAATATATTAAATATATAATAATAATATATATTATATAATTATTATATATTAATATATATTATATATTATATAATAATATATAATAATATATAATAATAAATATATATAATAATATATATATTAAAATAAAATATAATAATATTATCAAAAAATTGTTTTCAGAAAAACTTTCTTTGGTTTTATTTTCAATTATTCCTGAATTAAACGAATTATTTTCAATTAAGTTTGTATTTAAGTAAATATTTACTGCTTAATATACGACCAAAATTCAATACTGTAATGGATTGTTCTTTATGAATTGTTCTCACGCTAAAATGAATTTCTTGTATTGCAAAGTAATGACCGAATGAACTCTTGACCTTGCAAATAAATCCTAAAATAGCACGGAAAAAACACTTTATCAACTATGATGAAGAGTCTGGTTGGCCACATAATTGCAAAGAACCGAGATTACATTTCCCAGTAAAAGGTATTACAAGAAATGTTACAAAAAAAATAACATGATTTTAAAAAGTTTGGGACGATTCGCATCACAGAAAAATCATATGTTAAAAAATATTGATTGATGTGTATTGCATGTTAATATCTTTAGTATCTTTAAACCAATTTAAATTGTTTCGCTATAAATCATTCACTAAATATTTCATTATTCTATCTATTCAATTTATTTGTCTGTTTATTCAATTCCTACATATTTTCTTTTGGCTAATTAGATTAATCTTGTTTTTAGATATATTTTGAAAATTAAATTCTCTAAATGATAATACTTATAAATGATAATACTAAATTTATATTTCACGTTAATTTTCTTATGTCAAACATTAATTATTGTATTATAATATTTATTATTTTTTATTGTAACAAATACTTAATTATTAATATTTCTTACAACTTGTAACTTGTAAGAAAAGTTAATTAGTGTGATTAATAAGTGTGATTCATTTTGATTAAATAAACATAAAATTTTTGTTGGATATTATTTTTATTTATTATCAAATATAATTGTTACCATTTTATTTTATATTTCACTATTTAAAAAACTATTTGTAATAATATTTTAACAAATACTACAATATTAGAATGAAGCTTAATAATAATCTTAACATTAATTATAAATCAATAATATATCTCGTATCGAAAAAACAATTTTTAAAATATTTAAAACGAAGGGAAGGAATTTAGAAAACATGAATTCTCATAGCATATTTGAATTTATATAAGCGTAAAAATGAAACGTGAAGAAAGATTATAAGTATCATGTTTCTTATTTAAAAAGAATTCAATTTCGCGACACGAGATGTATTCTTTATAAATACTTCATCGATATCGATGTTATATAGCATGATAATAATAGAACAGCATAGATGTTTATTCAATACAAAAATATAGAAAAAATTTCAAAATCAAAAAA